TAGTTCACCGAGGTGAGGCCGCCGACGAGGACGCCAAAGTCGAAGACGAGCGCGGAGCCATTGCCGGTGAGGGTTTGTGACTCGGGAGAGGGGAAGGAGGCGAGTTGGTCGCCTGTCGCGAGGGAGAGGATGGACTTTGGGCGGGCTGTGCGGGAGTCTGGGGCGTATATGTTTGCGTCCCAGGGGCCCGGGAAGGAGGCTTCGGTTGGGTGGGTGCAGGTTGCGTTGCGCCAGCAGGATTGGGCTGCTGTGTTTGTGAAGAGAAGGGCGAGGCCTAGGAGGAGGGAGGACGATGAGGATGAGACCATTGTGGACGGATGCGGTGCGGTCTGGCACCCTGCCTAGTCTCGAGATCTAGACGTGAGGCGGAAGAGAGGTCAGGTTGGTCGGTTCGTGATATGTTGTGCAGCTTCATAGGCTTTTGGGGTGGCGTATCGCGGCATTGCTACCCCGAGGCAAGCGTATTGATGTTGATTCTCCCCTGACCCAAGTACTGGGGATTCAGGTGATGTCAATGCCTCGAATTAGGCTAAGTAGAGAGTCCCCGCAGGGTCCCTCTGTCCTTGGTGTCATTGTCATCTCGGGTCCGGGTTTCTTGGTGGAAATGGCGGGCACGAGGTGATGTGGTATTTCCTCCGGCCCCATGGGGTTCGGTGACTTCGGGTCAATGATGGGTGGTTAGGTTTGGGGAACTTTCTGCAGCTCTGCAGCCGAACACGAGTCGTGGTTCCTTTGGATCTTGAGCAGGGGGCAGACAGGGTGGGAGTCGATCGCTTGGCAGAGAGAGCCAGGGGGAATCTTCGGTAATAATCAAGGAACAAATCAAGAGAAGAGAAGGGGAAGAAGAAGAGAAAGAAGAGGATCAATGGGAAGAGACGGAGGAGGAGAGTGCGGGGTTTGAAGGAGGAGTCTTGCAGCTAAGTTTGTGGGGTAATCTGGAGAGGTGGAACGTTGTTTCTTGGCGTTCACCTCTCTTAGTCATTCTCGTAGTTGAGTTGAGTTGACTTGGTTCATCTGAAGTTGTCGCCGTCTGATGTTTGAGTTGACTTGTCCATACTTATTGACTGGGCTGGGTTCCAGGTTGTAATCGTCGGTTCAGACTTTGACGCTGCTTTCTGGTTTTGTGGAAGTCCTTGCTCTGTTCAGATCGGTCGTAAAGAGATGATGGGAATATATAATGCCTAGCGAAAGTGTTTACCCATGTGACATGATTGACAACTGAACAAGAATAGAATTTACAAGGCTGAGAAGCCCCGTGTGCCAAGATCTAAATATGTACTAGAATTCAAAGTATAATCCAACCACCATCTCATGCCTTGGAAATGGTGACCTCAGCCTGTCCGCCAGACAAGTCGACGAGATATCCTCCTCTGGCCACACTCGCGCCAGACACTGTGAACTTGGCATCACCCGACGTCGTCTCAAGCCAAACAATAGTCGAGTTAGCCTTCAGCGCCGCCTCAGACGCCGCAGCACCAACACTCAACTTCACCGTCTGGCCCTCGCGATCATAAGTAACAGTCTGAATAGCACCGGCGCTGAGATCAACCTTCAACCTCAAATCCGCAACAAACACACGCCTCCGCACCGCGTCCCTCGGCTCAGCAACCACAGAAGTCTCAGTCGACGAAACGACGTTGCCGCCAAACACGACCTCGCCGTACGTCGCATGGTTTACGATATACACGCCCTGGCCGAGACCCAAACCCAAGAACCCGAGACCGTAGTCGCCGGTATACGGGTCCCAGGCCAAATGCTCCGGGAACGAGTGGAACGCCGCCGATGGGCAGCCCTCGGCGTCAATGTTCGTCAGGGGCGCCGTGTTGCCGGCGAAGGCGACGCGAAGGGCGTCGACGTCGGACGGGTTGCGCTCGAAGTGGTGCAGCATCGGCAGCGAGTTGAGGCCGGAGCCGTAGTGGTGGAGCTGGCGCTCGATGCCCTGGTTCTTGGCGCCGTAGAGGAAGTCCCAGTACCGGCGGGCGTTGCCGTTCCAGCCCCAGTGGGCTACGGTGGGCATGTAGGCTCTGATGCTGTTGATTGCTTTGATGGCGGTGCTGTTGTGGCCAAAGTACCTGTTGCTTCATGTTAGCTATTGCGCGTCAAGAGTTTGGTGATCTGGGCTGAAAGAAGCTTACTCGGTCCAGTAGTAGACGCCTTCCTGGCCAGTACTATCCCACGCCATCTCGCTGCCAAAGGGAACAGCCAGCGTCTCCCAGAACTCGGCGCGGAAGCGCATGTTGGCTTCAAAGGTAGTGGCCTCCTGCGTCATGTTCTCCCTCTTGAGGTCTTCGAGCAGCTCCGCAAACACCGTCTCGCCCATCAACCCAGTCAACCCGTAGTCGCAGTCCGCCGCGCCGTTCTTCATGCAGTGCGTCACCGTGTTATACGCCTGCGTCAGGTACCAGGTCCAGTCAGCGCGTGTCTTGACCTGCGGGTAGTCCCTTGCCACGCGGTACATGGACCAGTACGCCACCACGGGATGGACGTAGTTATACGCGCGCACGGTGGTGTACGCCCTCTCCTTGGTCCAAGACGCCCAGGACGTCCAGTCGCGGGAGGCGTCATAGGTGTAGTTGACGGCGTCGGGCTGGTAGAAGAAGGTGCTCGCGCGCACGGCAAAGGTGTCGTTGGCTGGCTGGATCGTGCCGACGATGGTGTCGTGGATGAAGTCGTCCAGGACTGCGACCTCGGCTTCGACGGGCTGGACGAAGAGCTTCGTGGCGGCGGCGACGTAGGCGCCCGTGCCGCCCTCGTCGCTTAGACCCGCGATCCAGACGCGCTCGTCTTGGGTGACGATAGCCTTTGCTTCTCTGTCGTAGCCCATGATGGACGGCGCGCGGCCAAAGGGGTCGGAGGCGTCGGTGAAGTGCGCGGCGGTGGTTAGGAAGTGGCCCAGGTCCGAGACTGTTTCCGGCGCGGGCTTGGTGATGTAGTATTGCACCACCTGCGTCTTGCCGTCCTCGTAGGTGATTGTTACCTTTGCGCGGCCCCAGGCGCCGGCGGTCGGCGTGAGGAGGTAAGGGGAGCCCTTTGCTGCAGTGTCCTGCTTGATTGTGAAGGCTGAGCCGTCCATGGTCTTGACCGGGGACGAGTGCGTGAGGTACAGCCTGGCTGTGAGATCGGTGGGCACGACGTAGCCCGGGATACCAACAGCAAGGGGGATCTCCGCCTTTGTGACGGCGGCCTCGATGGTCTGGATACTCTCCGCGGCGACGAACTTGAGTCCGACAGAGTATGTTTCCCCGGCCTTGAGCTTCTTCGAGGTGGGCGTGTTCCAGGGCGTTGCGCTCTTCCACTCGGTCTCCGCCCACGCCTGGGAGTGAATCATCCACTCATAAGTGCCTTCGTAGGTCTGCGACTGGTAGTAGTAATCACCCTGCGGCTCCCCAAGAAGTCTCCACGCCTCGAACGGACTCGAGCCCAGCGGCGCGACCACAAGGGCGTTGCCGAGGCCCTTTACGGGGGAGACGCGGACGTAGCCCGCATCGAGACCGATGTACGGGTCCGCGAGGGAGCACTTTGCCTGCGTCTCCTCGGCCGACGGGCGCGAAAAGATGTTGTTGATGGCGATAGGCAGACCCAGGGCGCCGAGCTCGACGGTGCCGTTGGCGGTGTTGGTGAAGTTGACTCTTAGAGCGAGGCCATCGCCGGCGGGGAGCCACTCGCGCGTGACGGTCAAGGGCACGCCCGCGGGCAGCGTCGCGGCGAGGTCTGCACCGGCAATCACGCCCGGGGCGAGGTCCGCGAGGGCTTTGACGGGCTTTCTGGCTTGGGCGGAGTCGACGGACGTCCAGTTGCCGGCACCGTCGAGCTTGAAGCGGAAGGTGACGTCGCCGATGTGGTGGGCGTAGTTGAAGGTGAGGTTGGCGAGGAGGTCCGAGGGGAGGAAGTCAAAGTCGGTTCCGGGCTTGAGGGAGGCGAGGGTCTGGGAGTCCTTGACGAGCTGGCCGGTGAACTGGCCGGCTTTGAAGTCGAGGAAGCCGTTTGCTACGCCGAGATCATCGCTGGACTGGCCGTTGACGAGAGACGTCAGCGCCAGCGTGAGGGCTGGGAGGAGCTGTGTCCGAAACATCGTGAATGATGTGGTTGACCGTTTCGGTTTGATCGATCACAACGATGGCTGATGCTTATTCTAGCCAAGGCGGGAGGCGCATTCTATTTATCATTGCGTACTCCGTATGGGCACCAAGAAATGCCCCCATCATCAGCGAGGTAGCATTTCTGTACTGATCTGCGTCATGGACCGCTAATTTCCCCATGGTTTCATGCGATCTGGAGCCTGTCACCCATTGTAGAAGCTCGGGAACCATTGATACGAGCCAGGGCGCTCTAACATTCGGTCGCATCGTCTGACCTTGCGCGCCTTGTCGGCTATTACCCAATGATCGACAGGTCCGGTTGCTGTTCTCTGCAATCTGGCGAGATGGAGGGGTTGCCGGATGTAAATGTCCATGTACGTGAGCGGGGCGGCTAGTCTTTACTTTGCGAGTGCGGATACGGGAATCAAGTCGAGGGTATATTAGTGCTTGTCTTCCGTCTCTCCCCTTCCATTCGTGGAGCCTTAACGTCCCCGTTTGAATTGCAATTAGTTCATTGCTGGGGTAGCGAGTTTAGATCGGGACTGAACCCGAATTGCGTACTCCGTATGTACTGTTTGGGTCGATCGGTCGCGAGGATGTTGGTTGCAACGTAGCTCCACTAACCAGTCTGGGGTGTTAGTTCTGTTGATTATCTGATAACTTGGCGCCGCGGTTGCGAATGGCCAAAAGAGGAACAACGCAAATTGTCAACCTAGAGTTGCTATGGTAAAAGTCTTGCTTCTTTCAACTTGGCCGATTATCAAAGTATAAGGTTTTCTGGCTTATGTGGGATGTTTCACCACACCGAAGTCGGTGTTGCCGATATTAATCGACTCAGGAGATATAAAATTAACTTTTAAAGGGAATGAATTAAGGGTGCATTCTTCTTACAAACGACAACGCCCAAAGAGACCCACAACTTCATGCTTCATCCTGGACCATTGTGAATGACATCCACTCATTGTCTTCCCACTCCATTGAATTAACGACGTCTATAATTTGCTGCGTCGTCAAGTCCTCTGCCTGACTACTGCTGTCTTTGCTCAACTCTCTGTACGCCGGCAGCATTGTCTCTTGACTCAGTGGCAATCCCGTCTCCGCCGGCAGAAGGGCCGGTGGGAGAGAGGCTGGTGCGTCTGTCGGTTGTTGCCAGTCTGGTAGTGGTACTGACTGTTGCTGCTGCTGTGCGACAATGGTTGTCGAGTCGGCTAATAGCCTCGGTCGGGTGACGTCGAACTCGAGGAGCATCTCCTCCAGTTTCTGCATCTCGTTCTTCCTGAAGTCGGCGATGAGGTTGCCGCTGGCTACCATTTCTTCGATGATGGCGTGCGATTTATCGAGCCAGGGGACTTGGCTCTCTATCAGACGCGAGTCGACCCCGCGGGCGACGAGCAGGGCGACTGTCGATACGAAGAGCGAGTCTAGATCTAGCGGAAGGAATGTTTCTAAACGAGACATTAGAGTTATTACTCGACTGGAGCTGCCTGATAATACTGACCGAGGAGTCCCTGCGCTCTCAGACGGTCGAGGATGTTAAGAATCTGGATACCGGACTCGGCGCACATCTGAAGCGGATTCCGAACTTTTGGCGATGCCATCAATGAGTCGGCCTCAAGCGGAGAGTTGAATCTCTTGATCAGACAGCATAAGAGAAGAGGTCGGGTCGCGAGAATGATGCACTTAACCATAAAGTTAGCACAAAACTCAAAAGTCAAAACTGGAAAGTGTCGACACAAAATTGCTCACCTGGTAGTAAAGGAGATGCAGGTGGGCAGAAAGTCTCGAAATGCCGTCGAAACGCTCATCGGCAAACAGCGGAAATGAAGTACGCAGCTCATCGGCCACGGCAACGATGCTTTGCAGCACCGCCTTTGTACTTAGGACGAATTTCTTATTGAGGCGGCCTTTTGCGCCGTAGACGGCTAAATAAGGGAAGGCAAGAAGTCAGCACATATGAACTCAAGCGCTGAAGAGGACATTGAAAAGTCTTGGACGTACTGCTGCTGATTTCTGCGATGATTCGAGCAAACTTGATCTGCATGCTCAGCGCGGTGGTGCGGTGAACAGAGCCCGGGTAGGATGGTAGTTGGCAAAAGACGCCCTCGTCCAGAGTCGACTGGGGCAGCCCCATCAGGGAAGTCATCTGCCGGTCGAGAACGTAGACTGTCCACCAGATCTTGCGACATCGTTGGACTAGTCCTGGACCCAAGTCCATTATCGGCATGTCTGTGTGCATGCCGTGGTTCATCGCCACGCTTTTGGCTTGCCCGATCTATCCCACTTTTGATTAGTCTCGACTGTGATAATGAACCTAAAGTAGATATTATCATGAAAAATAGACTCACAAAGTTGTGCGCAGCATGTCGAAAGTCCAGCGCTTGATAGTACCACGCCATCGAGCACAGAATCTCCGTCGACATGATAGGCTCCTTACACAACGCCGTAACATCAGGAAGAAGCTGCAGCGCCCGCACGAAGAAATCCGCCCCGGCCGGTCTGTTGTTCCCCTTCGTCTTCCTCTGAATGAGGCTCTTACCAAATGCCAGGATCACGAGAAAGTGGATGTACCAGAGGCTATTCTCTTCCGCCCGGTCGGCCGACGATCTGGCGTAAAACGTCTGCATATGGAGCATAAACTCTTCCTCCTCAAAGAGGTGGAACATTTGCCCGCAGTGGAACTTGACGGCGTTGATGAGGAAGATAGCGTAGTCGTGGCTCGGTATGAGTCTGTTGTCCAGCATTTGCGTCGTTCGTGAGCCGTCCCAGCCGAGGTCGTGGGCGAAGCCGTCGAAAAGGAGGCTGTTTGTTGGAAGAGGAGATTGGCAGACGTGTTCGTGTGTGACGCTTAGGACTTGGCGGGAAAAGGACCAGTTTGAAGAAGAGCCAAGGAAGTCTAGGCTTGGATGAGTTGTGTGTTGTAAGGTGCAGTTACTAGAGTAAAGAACTCACACGGTTGTCCATTGGACTCAGACATGCAGAATCGAGATGGCGTTGCAGTCAGAGGATTTGTCAAGTCTGGGCCATCTCCATCTCCAGGTGGTGAGTTTCCGCCTGTCCAGTCTGGCGTGTGATAACTTCGTCTGCGCTCATCGAAGCGTGACGGGTTATTTGGATCATCTAGCTGAATGAGCATGGGCTTGACTCACACTCAGCCAGGAGACTGTACCTTCACGACACGCGACGGCATCATCGTCGCCATCGGCATGCCTCAAGCTTTCCTCCACTAATGCCCTTGCTTGAGCGCGCTCCAACTGTGCCACTTTTTGTTGCAACTCGGATAGATATCTGTGACAAAAATACCATGTCAGAGAAGTGCAACCTAATCGAGTGTGTGTCGACTATTGCATTAAGTCACTACTCACCCCTGCGTTACCATAACCTTGTTGTCCCGCTCGTCAAAGATACATGTCAACCGCCTCTGCGTGCAATTGTTGCACGGGTGAAGGCCTGAGCACTTGATCTTTTGCCTCCGACATCGCGAGCAGCTGGTGATGACCTATCAGTAAGGCCATGCCTCATGAGTAGTGAGGGGGACTCGATGTAACGCACGCGTAAGATGATCGTTTCGTGATACGTCGTTGAGTGTTAGACGACTCCATTTCTAAGGCCGCAAGAACTTATTTCCCAACTTGGCTCGAAACTCGGAAGCACTTCCAGAGGCTGACGGCGTAGGGCAGCGAGAGCTGTGGTGTACGGTGGATAAGGTATCCGAGTGACGTCTCGCACAGAAGCCAGAAAACTAGAGATATCGGAAGGGCAGTCCGAACCTCCAACAATCAGGGTGCGGGGTTTCGCACTACTGTTGCCCATAGCATTTCTTAGTTCAGCGTATTCCCGGCAGTCCACGTCCGAAAGCGAAGTAGTTCAAGGTGGCTGATAACACTGAAGGCATGACTGGCCCGCTTAGCAAGGGAATCCCCAACTTTGGCTATCTCCAAATTCCTATTCGAGCATTGGTTTCTTTGCTGTTGGTTCCATGCGGGGTGCATTGAACCCGTCGCAAGCCGCAGCCAAACACGGAGAGATAGCACTGCGGACGGCGGGGGTGTTAACGTGGGGTCACCGTTATCGCTGCTTCCGACTCCAGATGCGATGCTATTGGTCTGTTCATTCTCCAACCTAACACACGGCATGAGAATAAAGGATCCCGCAACTTCACAAGAAGTACGCAAATGCAAGCTTTCTAGTCTTACCAGGTTGACTCTGGGGTTAATAGCGGTTGAAATAAAAACATAAATATCGGACTCCTCATAAAGATCTGAGCTTACCTACTTATTACTTACTATAAACACCGACCTACATGTTGTTGCCAATCATCCCCCTCGAACAACATTGATACCAATGCCTTCAATGTAACGATTTGGGAGTTACGGGATTTGGCCGTAATTACATGGGCTTTTCTTCCCAGACTGAGCTTTCGGCAATTAACAGTAGGCTCTCATCACGTCAAATGAAGCAGAAGTCTAGAGGAAGGCAATCATTCTATCTAAGCATCGTATGATAGAATAGGCTGTCACTGCCCTCTGTTAATTTCATCTCGCTTTGCTGCGTGTATCTATGAAAATCCTCTGATCCAGAGTTTCGCGGCTACTAGAGCAAGAGGCGGACCTGTCGATTGCACAACGAACCGGGTGCCTCCACCTTGATTTCTTCCAGGCCCCTCTCAAACCGATGAGCCTGGAGCCAAGGTAGCACATTTTCATCGGTGCTGAGGAATTTGTCAACGCCCTTTAGACCCACAACAGGAATCTTCGCTCTGTTTGTGAAATACGCCTTGAACTTGGCGTAATCCAGCGAGTCGCTTAGCAGGATTTCCTTCAGCTTTTCAGGCAGTAGCACAAGGTCGGCTTCTCCCTGATTTTGCCCCTGCAGCTTCCAGTTGATAATGTGAGCTAGTACAGCAAGGATGAACTCCTTGCAGTTCCCTTTTTGACAGCTGCCGTTTGGCGTGTTAAGTCGAATTCTGAACGAAACACCTCCGTTCACAAGAAACGTCACGGTTCCGGCGATGGCCGTGCCGTTGGTGATACTTTTCTCCAAAATATCCACGTAGGTAAGAGCCGCAGTTCTCACTTGATCTATAGAATAATTGTAAGTAAGAGGCTCTGAGGTGACCAAAATGGACAATTAACTTAAACACTCACCAGGCGTCAGAAACGGCTTCTTTGAATCCGCCATGATGATTGATCGGCACAACGTGCTATTTTTCGTGTGTATATTCGAGTATTTGAAGCTAGAGCTTGCTCCTTGAATGAACGTGCTGCCTGAAAATTCTTGTTCCTGGTTTGATCCAAGCTCCTTCGTGTTGCATGTGATGTGCTGAAATCACTGGAAAAAAGAGACGATGGAGAAGATAGAATCAGTGAGAACTGCTTGCTGGTTGCATGCATAAAGTCCCATCCTTAAATAGTCGGAATCGGTTAGCAGACAAAGCAACCGACGGTTCCACGAAACGCTTCACCGAAGCTTGAATAGCATCGCTTGGCTCTTTGTGCCCTCTATGACTATCCAGATCATTTGATCATTCGTACTTTCCAAGACTCTCCCATTTCGTCATCCAGTGAAATCACTTGGGCGAGACCGCCCCATTTCTGTCAACAGGTTTTTTGGAGCCTGAATAACAATATCCTGGGTTGAAAGGTTCTTGCGACGATGTTGTAGAGGATGAATACTAGTACGTATCAAGACAAGAGGAAGGGGTGAAATCCTTTGGGAGGGGGGAGTGATCAGATGTTCAGTGAAACAACATTGAATCTCTGAAAGAATGACGATGAACAGGCTTCGACAAAAGAAGGAACAGCCATTTAAAACATAAAAGATCACCAAGTAGTGTAGCCCGAGCGAAACGCCGGCCTGGTGTACCGTAGTACAAGCGAGAGCATAAAGAAAACATAGGATGAGACGGAAGTGAAGGGGATATGAACGTATTTGAATCGCAACGACAGTACGACGGGAGTGAAGTGTTGACAACGACCGGAGGTGGTGTAACGCAATGACGCTACCAAGAAGTGATGGAGCGGGGTGGCGCAAGTTGTCATCGGATCCGGTACCGCTTCGGGAGGCGTTTAACACCGGAGGGGTGTGGGGTCCGGTCACCGACACTGATATGGTAAGGCTAACCAAAAGACGATGTGGGCGCCGGGGTAATGCGGGCCTCGAGAGAAGTGAGGAATGGAGGCGAAGCATAGCGATCCCAAGCTGGACGTCTGATTTGGGATCGATCTTACTGGACGCTTTGCCCATGTGCCGTCACAGCAGCTTTCGGGTTGGCCCTCTCCAAGCGTGGACATCGGCATTGCCATGCGACCGGCCATGATCAGAACATCAAGCCGCATAGAAAGTTTGAACGAGCTGAAATTCCACAGGCCAAAGAAGCTTTTATTGGGGCTACTGACTCAGTAGTCATTTTTGAAAGCTTTTGAGCACATGCTGCGATTCTTGAAAGCTCTGCCGCATTTTCCGTCCTTAGGTTCACTCGCCTTATGAGTCAGGCCGCCTCAGAGTTCAGAATAGAAGTCAACACTCCACATCTTGCTGCCGCCGAAACATTGTCTGCCCATCCGAGTCTTCTGATATAGCTATGATGGATGGGAGCCTTCGACTGGAGATTTACTGGTACCGCTGAATAGAAAAATGAAGGCCACCAAAGTGAGATGCCTTGCAATCTTGGAGACCGGCTCGCCTTTGCTGAGAAGTTTCGATATAGATCAAAGGCAAAGTGACGACTTTTAAAGTCATGTGGCGGTTCCAGGTGTTGGAATCAAGTCAAAGTTAACACCAGTAAAAGTACTGAACTAAGTAGTCTCCTACGCTGATAGCTCGTGGGGCGCTGCCTCCTCATCATCGTCCTCATTCAATGGACCTGAACATTAAGCTCCAGATAGTTACGATAGGAATTGATTCACTCACGCTCTCTCGATGTAATTGGCCTTTTAATCAGAGCGTTATGATGATTCGCCTTCTCTGTGTGCTTAAGTCGTGATCGTCAAGCATTATCGAGAGTGGACCTTCGATTGGACTCATTATTTACCCCCCCCCCCCCCTCCAAAAAAAATAATCTTTCCTGGTTGCAATGTCATTATTCCTTCCGAAGACGTCCAGGAAAATTACGTCAAACATTGAGATGGATTGCTGGCCTGTTTCCTTGAGAGTGGTCTTGGAATCCGGACGACTTCGAGTTCACAACAGGGGTGTCATGCAAGTTCGGGCCATCCGAGAGATAAGCGTCAGAGATTGGAGAGCTGCCCGGAGTAACGTAGGATAAAGCAACGATCTTCAGTGGCATTCAGCACTTCAATTTGGGTTCAAGGGAACACTCCGATTTGCATCCTGTTGGCAAATTGTCCGATTGGTGCGGATATTTGCTGTTCGAACCAAGTCAACCTTCCCCGCTTCGCCCACAAAGGAGGTCGACTCAACCTACATGACGTCTTGACGGGCAGGCGTTGTGATCATCAAGTGCCTGATCGAATTGCTATATGATTCTGGCGTTGCAATGTGATGGCCGGGATGTCAAGATACGCCGAGACTACAAATTTGCCATGATAGAGGGAATACGAGGCCACGTCCAAGTTGTGGGAGGTCCGTCCACGGGCACTGCGTGTTGCATTATCGAGCTTCCTACTTAGTTAATCGAACTGAATGAACCATGCCTAGCAGCGAGATTAAATATCACGGAAGTCCAAAATGAAACAAAAAAAAAGAAGAAGAAGAAAAAGGAGTCATTCTTGAAAAGCTATCGAGTTCATTGACATTTGACTTCAATAATAGCAATATGATGCTTCAAAGATTGCTGGTGTCTCTTCTCGCTGGGGCAGCAGTCCCCGCCATCGCAGGTGTATTGCCTCCGAGACAAGCACCGAGTGCTGCAGAGGGCGTGACAACCATCACCAGTCCAGGAGGCTCGCAAATACGCTACAAACAGCCTGGAAAGGATGGCGTTTGTGAGACTACCCCTGGAGTCAACTCTTACAGTGGATACATCGATATTGCCCCGGACGTGCATGTCTTCTTCTGGTTCTTTGAGTCGCGCAGAGATCCTGCAAATGATCCGGTGAGTTATTCACTAATCCAACGATGATCGCATTCACAACAATGACCATCTAATTTGAAGGTGACGCTTTGGCTCAATGGTGGTCCTGGTTCCGATTCCTTAATCGGTCTTTTTGAAGAGATTGGGCCTTGCGAAGTGGTTGAGAACATGACCACCGTACTTCGAGACTACGCTTGGAATGAAATATCGAACGTCTTATTTCTCTCACAACCAGTTGGAACAGGTAAGCCCACGTGAAGTTCTGACTTAGGTCTACAATCTAACATGAACAGGTTTCTCCTACAGCGAGAAAGAGGTGGGGTTTCTTGACCCTACATACCTTCTAGTAGATAAGGAGCCAGAAACCTCCGATGAGCGCGAGGGCCGCTGGTCAGTCATCGACCCTACCAAAGAAGACACCAGTCGTCTGGCTGCTGTCACTTGTTGGGAAGTGGTGCAGGGGTTCTATGACGCCTTGCCGCAGCTAAGCTCTTCTAACATTTCTTCGATCGATTTTCACCTCTGGGCTGGTAAGCATTCATCTACAACATGAAAGGAAGGGTTTTG